TCTCCTTTTGATCAAAAAAAAAACCCCAGAAGCCATGTTATTTCACTTGCCAGAGTACTGAGACATTCTGAATCTCCTTTTTTTGCATAAGAATGCATATTTTTATTTTCTGCTTCATCAAACTGTGCAGGACCTGTTGGTCTGTGAAGCTTTTATCAGTTAGAAATCTAGGTCATCTGTTCTTTCCTGTGGTACTGTAGAATGTGTTTTTCTTGAGACACCAAAGAGGACAGTCTGAGAGCTGCAAATTGCCAGTCATCAGGAGCACTACATCAACATGCTGCATTTGACTGCTTCTAGTATACTTGAGATATGCAAGCTAGATCTGGCTGGGAGTCATCTTTGGCTAATTTTTTAATTAGCAAAGGCAGACATGAGTTTTTGACAGGAAGATTGCATAGGTCTGGAAGGGAGAAAACAATAGGAAGGAATGTGTTGCTAAACAACCAGACCTCCTTAATTTTTCTAGTCTGCATTAGCAGAACAGGGAATTTGTGTCACCTACATTCTTGATGAGTGCCAGGTTAGACCTCTTTTAGTATATATTCCATGTAGTCTGATTATTTAATTTCATCCCAATAGGGAATGGAGAACCTTCTAGAATTCTTAGCAATTTTGAGGGCAAAACACATTCTCTATTGCTAATTTCTACTTTCCCTCTTCTGACAGCACACTAACAACTGTATCAACCTCCATCACGCCATTTTCCTTCCTAACTAGGGCAACACATTTTTATTGCACTCACCTTCGTTTAAATTTTTAAAGGACTGAATCCAGCTTATAAACCAGATGTATTCTTTCCATGCACTCAGTAAAGGATTTGTTTTTCTTTTTATGGACACTATTTGATAGGAACAGCATTGCCTGCAAGACAGATATTTTAGGAGTAACATTTTCAATATAAGCATAATTTAAGCTGAAAAGTTCAAAGGAGCTTCTGTGTTTAAAACAAAACAATGAAGAGAACAGGAAAAAGTAGAAAGGGAGAATAGTAGCTAACAATCACTACAAAACATGTTACATTGAAGGAAATTTGCCTAAACCAGAAATTGCTTTTAATTTTTATCTGGAGTTGTCAAGAGCAAAGCATAGGGAGAATAGGAGTGAGAACAGCATTTTCACTGCTATGTGAGATGCTGGTTTCTTATGACATTCGAATACAAGAAAAACCAGGAAACATAAAATAGGCTGAGGTGCTCAAATTGAGTTTTTGGAGGGAGATATGAGGAAAACTGATATGTATGGAAACCTAAAGGGTTGTTTTACCTGGAAACCTGAATGCAGACTGCATCCTTTAAAAAGATGGGTAGTGTTATATTTCTTGTAAGAGATTTACATCTAAAATGAACATATAAGATAAATATCACTGGGTTTTGTGATGCTGCTCTGAAGATGAAGTGCATCTGGGAATTGAAGTAATTGCCTGTTTTCAGGCAGGCAGAGCCTCTTGTTACATGACTTTCTGAAGGTAAAATTGCTCTTCTCATTGTGCTGGGGAAATAAGGTGTTGCCTGTACGTTCAGTGACTAATCCTCACTGCAGTTTTATTTTTGAATAAATTGACTACATTTTAGATGAGAAGAAAGAGTGACTCAAGAAGTGAAGAACAATTTGGGATTAGTGTTACAGAGAATAACTTTTGGGCAACTTTCTGTTTAATTTCTATAGGGAACTTTGTAACTACTAAGTTTTGTGTGAGAGAAGATACCTGCCTGTGGTAGATGAGGGAGTCAAGTTTATCCTTATGAGATGCTGTAGAATTATATTAAAAATCTTGTTAAGGACAATATGCTGTAGTAGCTGCTTCTGAGACTGTAGGAGGAAGGATTATAGATCTTAATGAAATGAGGCAGAAATTCCCTTAACTGTTACAAGTCTGCTGCTGAACCTCTTTGCCATCCTGTTCCTATTTGATTGCTTGCAAGTTTTGCAATGGTAAAAGCAGTGTTAACCACCTGAACGATACACAAAAGTAGCAAACTCATTTGTAAGCAGTTCAAGCTGCCCCTGCTTATTCTTACACTACAGACTGCTGGACAGTTTTGCGTAACTTCTGTACTTTTGCTACACAGTTACACAAACCCAATTAAACAGCCATCAAGTATTGGCTGATGTGGTACATTTGTTTACTACGTTTTACAAGGAGAGATAAGGGTTTGATGGTTTTCTTGTGAGAGGCATTGTTCTGCTTTGAGTGACCGTATACAGGAAATTCTGGCATTTATGTTTTTATTTTTTATTCCTTTCTTTGCCCACAGGATTCCTCTTTATACTCTGTTCGCAGCTCTTTTAGTTTCAAACTGCTGGATTTTTTTCCTGTGAGGAGTTAGGAATATAAGTTGTTTCCAGGCAGCACACATTTTATTCTCAAGACACTACAACACTTTTGACATTTCATCAGAGTTAGACATTTATTTATTTTTTTCCTAGGTCAGAGTTGGAAAGTGAGGCAAGCTTTTAGAGTAGTCAAGTTCTTTGCATCTAGAGAAAAACCAGATCAGAGAAGCTTGTTTTACTTTCTCTCATGAAGTTTCTAAGCTGCCTGAGTACCTATAAAAGTGGGCTGTCTTCTTAAAATAGTCCTAACCTTAAAATAATCCTAATTATACACACACTTGGGAAGTCTTTCTGACTGCACGTCTGTCCATGCAGCTATTGTGAGTGTTGTGGTAGGAGGCAAAGAGCTGGTGCTGCTTCTGCTTCGCTCAGCCTCTCTCCCTTCACATGCTGCACTGCAGCACGTCCTGAGTTGTCGATGCTGTAAAGCAACAGGGCAGTGGTGCAGCTGTAAAAGTGAGTTCATCATTACTACTTCTACATTTGAAAATGAGCACTGTATAATGGTAAAATTTTTGAATCTGGCCTTTTAAAAGAATGCCAGGAGGTTGCATCTGGGGTGCCTGACATGGATCCTGAAGTGATGAAGGATTAACATACATTAAATGAGGTCTGGTTGTGGCCCAGTGGGTTCATTCCTCTGATCTGCACTTATTTGTTGTGCAAAACAAATACTTCTCAGATCACTCAGCATCATATCTTGATTTTTTGAGTTGGGTTTTTTTTTCCCTTTTTCGAGTAAGATAGTATTTTTTTATATGGGCAGTATAGGTTGTGTCACAGTACCTACACGTTTCCTTTACATACATTTTTTACCTCATCACTGTAGCTTATAAAGCCAGGGTTAGGGGCTATACGTAGCAGTAGGGTAAAGCATAAGGAGGAAGAACAGAGGGAAAGCAGTCTGATCCATTACTTCTTACATCTGGTCATTACGGGAAAGATAGTTAATTTCTGTATACTTAGAGAACAAAGCAGTATTGTGGCCATGGTGGTGTAAGACTACCAAATGGATGGGATTTTTATAGGAGAGGGATATCATTAAAGCAATTAATAGAATTAGGAAATACAGCCAAAATTTTTGAAGCTCTTCTTATAGAGAGGTGTTTTCAGTAGGATGCATATATTGTAAGCATATGTGCATGTTAATTACAGTGTGCTGGATACTGGGTTTGGTTTCCTAAAGGATTCTTCTAATATTTTTCAGTATTTCTGATCCTGAAGTCTGAAGCTATTTTGTGCATAGCTAAGTCATACTGAACTGAAATGACTAGTGCAGATGTACGTTACTTTTTGTGAGGTGTTTCTGGATCATGGCATCTTTCCCTGTAGTGGGAGTGAAAGGTTTTGAGTTCACTCCTGTGTTGCAGAGATGAACATAAGTGAGAATATTCATGCACATGTACCACTCTGCCAACATCCTGCCTAATGTGTTGGAAATGTGAAGGAAACATGCCTTTGTAGTATCATCTCTATTTATTTCCATTTTTTAAAATTTTAAGATAATATTTTTTCAAATTGAAACAGCTTTTTTTTGCAGAGCCCCAGGGTCACAGGAACTCTTGAACTAAGTTATCGTTTCATCAGTACACAATACAGGGTGACAAACATCACAAAAATGCTGAAGACCAGTAGGCAGTAATGTGTTTAGGATATTGGAACTTAGAAGCACTGGCACAAAAAGTATATTCTATGTTATCTTTGGCATTCACTTTAAGCTAACAGACAAAATTTGACTGTAGTGTTGATATCTTTTGTTGGAGTAGGCAATTTCTTAATAAGAAATTGGATTATTTAGTGTAGGAAGAAAACCAAATTACAAGTGTTCTCTTATTTGCTTAATCCCTGTGATCCCTCAGATTTATACTGAATATTATGTGAATGGAATGGAGTACTCTTGTTGGTCACTTGTCCTGTCTGTCACTCACCGAAGGTGCAACCTTTTACTTCCTTGTGACCCCTCTTACTACCCGGCACCCCCAGCGTGGCACACAAGAGCCAGCAGTGGCCTTGGGCACTGTAGGAATAAGTATAAGCAAGAGCCTGTCTGCATCCCATTCCAAGGCAGTAACTGTAACCATCAGGTGTTATCACTGCCAGTAGCACACACTGTCTGCAAAAACATGCTGCTGACTTCAGAAAGTGCAGCCTCACAGAGGAAACTGAGCTGAAAAGTCAAAACACCAAACGGAATTGGTTCTGTTTAATCAAACCAGGACAAATACACAGACTAGCACTGTAAATGTCCATGTGCCTTTCTTCTTGAGGTCCTAAGCTAAGCTCCTTGGAGAGCAAGAGTTTAAGCAAAAGCTTTGCTCAAAGCCAAGTTGTGCTATGTGTGCCCTGTTATTAATTAGTAGGACTTTTTAAAGGAGCAGCTGTGTAATAACAGCACTTACTAAGTTGATGTTTGTAGCTGTTAGATGTGAAATGTCTTTAAAAGGCTGTTGAGGTCTCGGCACTGAATTCCTAAATTTTAATTGTAGCTTTGATGTTTTCCCCCCTAAAAGATGGGACTTAGTTTTTTTTCTCGAATTCCATATGTCTAAAATGGAGGAGATAACTTTGTTTTATCTTATTAAGTCATTAAAGTTCATCAAAAGTTTTGAATGCAACAAAACTCCGTTACAAATGCTGATTATTATCTGCCTTCTTCTACACAGTGTTGACAATTTTGGACTTGGTCTTCTGCTTCAGACTAAGCAGATAAAACGCATGGTGTCATCATATGTTGGAGAGAATGCTGAATTTGAACGCCAGTATTTATCTGGTGAGCTTGAAGTTGAGCTTACACCTCAGGTAAGAAATGTTTGCAGGGGACTGATGATTTCGTCTAAGATACTGAGTATTATTTTGGAATCCAAATATTTTGTTGGTGTGATGTGCAGTAGAGACAGATGGTGCTTGCCTTCTGTGCTGGGTTGACCCTGGCTGGAGGCCAGGTGCCCACCAAAGCCGCTCTGTCACTCCTCTCCTCAGCTGGGCAAGGGAGGGAAAATATAATGAAAGGTTTGTGGGTCAAGATGAGGACAGGGACATCGTTCAGCAATTACACAGTCATGGGCAAAACAGACTTCATTTGTGGAAATCAGTTTAATTTATTACCAACAAAATAAGAGTAGGATAATGAGAAGTAAAACCAAAGCTAAAAAAAAAAAACACTTTGAAAAAAGAACCACTTAAAAAACTTTCCTCCCCTTCCTTCACTGACCTTTGTGCCCGCTGAGTGCTTCTCTCACTTATTCTCACATCTCTCTCTTCTGACTGCTACTAGTGCTTCACAGGGTTTTTTAGTTTTTTTTTCCCTTGAATATGATATCCCAGCAGTGCTACTGCTATTGTGGATGAGCTCGGCCTTGGTCAGCCTCTTGGAGCTGGCTGGCATTGGCTCTGCTAGACACAGAGGAAGCTTCTAACAGCTTCCCACAGAAGTCACGCCTGTAACCTCCCCACTACCCAAACCTTGCCATGGAAACCAGTTACAGCGTCTTAGGATCATGGGCTGGAGGCTGCAGCTGACTGGTCTAATAAGAACTGACAGGTCATACTGTATGAATTCCTTTTATCATTCTTTGTATTTCAAGATACACACACATGTATGTATAATTGTACAAATTTGATTTTTAGTAGTTCCTTATAGACTGTAGAAAAACACGAAAAACATTATATGGGTCACTACTGTGGCCCAGGTAATGGGAAAAAAGTTGGGGAATTGCTGAATTCCTCTATTGGTGGAAGCTTGTGTATGCTTTTAGGGATGTCGTGTGTGCAGTGTCTGCCATCTAGTGGGTAGGAATTAAATTAGGAAATTTCAGTTAATTGCCAGACAACTTGTCTGGTCTTGTTCGTTCGTTCTCATCTAGATTAATCTCTGCGTAGTGTTATAAGCCAATATTTACGACTTTATTTTTTAGCACCATCGTTTTAATTATTTTACCACTACCAAGTTACCCACATAGCCTGAATGCAATGAGATACTAAAATCATGAGTATCAGTCACATTCTGTTGAGATCTAGTTTTGTGAAATTAGTACTCTAACTTCAAAGCCTACAGCATGTTAGTGTGTTGTATTTCCAAAGGTGACACATAACTGTTAGGCTTTTAACAGCTATTGATTTAAGTCTCTGGCAGAAGGAACAGTCTTAAGTTTTTATGGAGAAGAGAGTCTTAGGCTGCATCTATTTTCTCTAAGAATCCCAGAAAAGGGCAGAAAAGCTCCTTATACACCCAGTCAGTGAGCATGAAAATAACCAGGCACTTGTCGCTTCTCAAGTTTCAAAAGTTAGAAATCTCACAATGCATTTTTTACCTCTTCGTGTGTAATGTTCAGTGCTTCCATCTAGAAAACCTTGAACTCCTTTGACATGTAATTATCTTTGTGAACTGCATAGACAAGCGATGTAGATCTAGCATGAGAATACTGGTATTTCCAGTTCTTACCAGTATTTACTGTTAGTGTGCAATGATAAGCACAATGACTTGCTAGGAAATATGGGGATTTGACATATTTACATCAAGATAAAATAGCCTTTTGAAAAATGCTCTTCAAGTTTGATAAAACTTTAGGCAAAGTGGGGGACACTTGTGTCCTTGTTACTCAGTGAGGGAGAGGCCGTGATGAAATACTGAAACGCTAAGGCTGCCTGGAACACTGGAGTTTGTATCATTGCAAGGTTTGCATCTACCTCTTGCCACCATTTGGTAAACCTACTAGAAGTCATTGTTTTTCTTGCAGGATAACTGGAGAAAATGCTTTTGAGGTCATCAAGCTAGATAATTGACTGTGACAGTCTTGTCTTGCTTTGAATCCAGAAAAATATACTAAAAATTTGGGAAAGGACACTAACGAAGCAGGCAGATATGTCCCCATGTCTGTAATTAAAGCTGAAGAGGAGTTTGAGCTGTTAAAATCCATTCTACAGCTGGGTGTAGAGCAGAGAGCAGATGGAATGGTCAGATAGAGCAGCAATGTGGTTCTGTCAGCTTCTTGGTGTTCTTAGTACAGGTAGCCCACATCACTGGACTCCCTCTTCCTTTTTTAATCTGCTATGCATGGCTGTTTAAACTTGGAATGAGGTATGAAGATTTTCTTAAGGTGTTGGAGAATGAAACATAAATATGTAGGACTGTTATATAAGAAAAACCTACTAGCATATGGAGCTGAATGGAGAAGAGGAAAAGAACTCTTACTCTCCTCAGAGTGATGGATTGGGAAGCAAGCTGAAAGAGAGGAGGCACAGTGAAGTTTTGGGGCTTGGGAGTTTACAAGGAGTCGTGTGACTGTGCTCTTGAGCAACCTATGGCTGTGTATGAAGCATTTCTTGCTGTATCCAGTACCAATCCCACAAAGGAGAGCTAAAATGGGAGAAAATAATAGATGGAAAGTTCTGCTGAGTTCAGAAGGAAAAGCTCCAAACGACAGGATGTAAAAATAAGTTTATACAAACCATTCATCAAAGTTTGATTTGTTATTCCCGAATATGTCTTCTTAAATATGTTTTCACTTAGGGCACACTTGCTGAACGCATCAGAGCAGGAGGAGCAGGAATCCCAGCATTTTACACCAGTACTGGCTATGGGACTTTGGTGCAAGAAGGAGGTGCACCTATCAAATACAACTCGGATGGCACCATTGCCATTGCCAGCCAGCCAAGAGAGGTAAGACGTCAGTTTGTTATTAGGAAGCCTTCTGCCCTGAAAACTTAGTTTTTTACATATTTCCAGGATAAACAGTAGTTTAAGCACCTCCTGGCCAGGTTTAACATTGGTGTATTGGATTACCAGGGTGTCTGTGGTACCAGCCGCATTAGTTTTCCTCCCACTGCTTACTTCTGCCCTCTGTGATGTGTTAGGGAAATTTTTAGGATCAAGAAGTGGTCCAATTAAAAACCTGTCTTGCTGAGTGACTTTTCACTTGAAAGTTCTCTGACCAAGTTCTCTGTGTATTCAAACAAAATCTTTTGGCAGACCACTGCTGTGCACAGTATGGTTGGGAAATGACTTGCTGTTAGTGGGGCAGGTGCTTCTTAAATACTGTGATACGGAATAAGCAGCCCTGCAGTTGTATGTGAAGCTTTAGCATTACAAGAGATGGAATGTTTTCCTGTTACCAGACAAGAGCTCAGCTGACACAAACTTTCAGGAAATGCCTCTGACAACAGTTGAAATGTGATTTAGCCTGGCTGTTTGAAATTGCAATGGAATTTTAAAAGGGTATGGCTTCCAAATGAGAAACGAAGGCTTTATACTGAAATTTGGTATAGAATTTGGAGAAGAGATTTTTTCAGTGTCATAACAATACTCGAGAAAGGGGATGGGACTAATGCTGCATGTTCCCATTAGGCTGCAAATTAAATGATAGAACACGTCAAGGGTAAAGGTAATTTCCACCTTGCCATGGTTTTGGTGTATTTTATACCTGACTATTTTTAGTGTCTACTCATTAACTTAGCTTTTTTTTAGTTTTCTTATATCATTACGATGTTTTACCATTTGAAGGAATATTTTATTTATTAAATAGCTTGTAATTATGATAACATTTTTCTTCTACTTTTAACATTTGTGGAAAAGACTTCCTTACTCTCAGTGGCTATCATGATTTTGTCAAATCCATGCTCCAAATCCATTCTGAATGCAACTGTCCTTTTGTAAAAGCTCAGCTGTACTTTTACAGGACCAAAATGATGACTTCTGATACACTTTTGCCATACTTCCTCCCCCTCTCAGAAATTTTAAATAGCTCTGTAGTGTTTGCGTATAGTGTAACCTATTAAGAGAGATGCTGTTTCATGTTTCTGTATAGCATTAAAATACTAGCTGTTTTATATATTCTGGCCTCAGGCACCGTATCAGTACGAATATTGATCATAAAAGCCGAGAAAACCAAATAAAATTCAGCCTGTCTTATTATGTGATTTGACTACTCTGTCTCAATTCCACTTCATTTTAGAGTCGGGGTTCCCAGTGGTGAGCAGTGATTATGCAACTTTTACAAGAGTTCTGCTTTAGGACTTCAGTTTTTTTGTCAGGTGGAGGGTGTACAGAAAAAAGCATGTCTAATTGCAGTAGATGGAGCAGCAGGAAAAAAAGCAGGAATATGGATCTGGTTCTCTTTCTGTTTCACTAAACAGAGACGCTGTGACAAAACTAGGGTTTACAGCCTTTCTGTGCTTCTCTGTTATTACACAGTTGACATTTATTTTTTTCAGATAAAACATGATATAGAATAAAAAATAAGTTTAAATATAATAGTCTGTAGAATTAACCCCATGAAATAAATATTACGGGGGAGATCTGTTTGAAGAAACCTATATAGTGTGCTTTTCTCTGTAGGTGCGAGAGTTTGATGGCCGTCACTTTATCCTGGAAAAGTCAATTACGGGAGATTTTGCTCTTGTGAAGGCATGGAAGGCTGATCGTGCAGGAAACATAATTTTCAGGTATGGCTTTTTTTTAAACGGGGAAAAATTTCTTTA